CACTCCACTAGAATCCAAATTCGCAGCAGAGAGGAGACAGAGAGAGGGAGGGAGAGAGAGAGAAGAGAGAGAGGGACCATGGCTTCCGCCGTCGCTCGCAGGGGTGCCGCGCTGCCCAGCCTCCTCGAGAAGCTGCTCGCCAAGCCGTCCAAGTCGGGTGCGCCCGTGTCCTTCGCGCTCCGTCCCGCCGCCGTCACCGCCGCCCGCCGCCCGTACAACACCCTGGGCAAGGAGGGCCGCCTCTACGACGACGAGGACGACGACTCCTCCAGCGGCGAGAGCGGCAGCGAGTACGAGGACACCGACTCCGACGACCGCCGCCGCGCCCGCGACTTCTTCGTCCCCGGCTTCTCTCAGGGTATGCCTCCTCGCCTGTCCCGGGACGTTTGTTCGCGTTCGTGTTAACAAGTTAACCTCGTGGGCCAAATCGGGGTTCTGATCAGCTTTTCTCGTTCTTGATTCCCCAGACGTGCTCGACCAGTTCGGCGCGCACACCAGCTTCGGCCGCCTGCTTTCTGCGCTGGAGGAAGCTGCCGCTCCGACCGGTCTCTCCTCCACTGCCGGGGCGTCGCGGCTCGGACGCTGGGTGTCGAAGGTGGACGACGACGCTGTGTACCTCAAGGTGCCGATGCCGGGGCTGGGGAAGGAGCACGTGAAGGTGTGGGCCGAGCCGAACGGCCTGGTGATCAAGGGCGAGGGCGACAAGGAGCCCTGGGACGGCGACGACGACTCCGCGGTGCCGAGGTACAGCCGCCGCATCAAGGTGCCCGCCGACGCGTTCAAGATGGACAAGATCAAGGCCGAGATGAAGAACGGCGTGCTCAGGGTGACCGTGCCCAGGCTGAAGGAGGAGGAGCGCAAGGACGTGTTCCAGGTGAAGATCGAGTAGGGAGGCGAGTCGAGTAGTCGTAGTGGTAGTGCTCGTGGTAGACGGATCGAGACGAGTAGTGGTAGTAGTAGTGCTCATGGAGGATGGCCGGCGCGAGTGTGAGAGACGCCTTGTTGATGTGGTGATGTTTGGTGTCTTTCTGCCCTGTTTTGCTTCGTCGATCGTCTTGGATCGTGGTTTCTGATCGACTGGTGGTGAGATTTGTCGCGAACTCCGTTAATTTCCCAAGTATGGCATGAGATGAAGTTACTTCGGTGGTGAAATTGGTCATGAAAAACCTGTTATTTTCCTCAAGTTTGGCATATGATGAACTTACTTTGGTGGTGAGATTCGTCATGAAACTCTGTTGATTTCCTGAAGGTTGGCATATGGTGAACTGATCTGGTGGTGCTGAAACTTTGCTGATCTCCTTAAGGTTGGCGTGCTGGACTAATTTGGTGGTGAAATTGGTCATGAACTTCGTTGATTGTCTCTCAAGTTTGGCTTGATGAACTGCTTAGAACTGTTTTGCTGGTGAATTTGGTCATGAACTAATGGTGATTTTCCTCATACTTGACGCGATGAACGGATTTGGTGGTGAAATTGGTCATGAAACTCTGCTGATTTCCTCAAGTTTGACGTGATGAACAGAACTACTGTGGTGAAATTGGCAAGAAACTCTGTTGATCTCCTAAGTTTGATAAGATGAACTGCTTGATTTCTGGCTTGCAGCTGTTATAGCTAGTCGCGCATGTCTTATCACTTTTCGCTGTAGCCTGTGCTGCTTTCTATGTCATGTGTGTATGTTTCCTCCGTTGATCTGTGTTGGCTTGGTTTTCCCATACCTGATCCGCTTAAGCTTTTTCTATAAGCAGCTGGGCATTCGTGCCTCTTCTCTGCAAAATTGCTTGATTTTCTCAAGTTTAACCTGCTAAACTGAGTTGTTGAACTGTTCCGTGATCATTTTTGTGTTTGTCCTCTGTGTTTACTTCCTGCAAGAACAATAACAGTTTCAGACTGTAGTTGTAGGGTTCTTATATGAACAGCCATAGAGATGGGCGTTTGTATCTCATGCTTTGTGATTCTGGAACAGAATTATATGCACGAAGAAAGAACAGCCAGACAAAAGAAATCGGCACGTTCTGCTTGTCACTTCACATCGAGAATTATAACAGAGATATCGGGAACTCCCTGTTAGTGCAGGTTTCCCAGTGTGCTGCATTTTTTGTTTGAACGGGGGAAATGGTATTATCGGCTCAGGTATATCGTATCGTGTGGACGCAGCCATGCCAATCAGCGTTTCGAAGAGCAAAGATTATAGGGCACTGGCTATTTCTATAAGCTGAACTGTTACAACTGAAGACAGGTTCATGTGAGATTGGTTTAGCTACTCCGTTGAGATCCCTATACCTATATGTGTGGTAAGCTTTGGGATGAAGGCCTGCTGATCTTTGAGATTGGTTTTTTTCGTGAATACGCAAAGCCTGCATATCATTTCATTGATAGAGAGAAGAGTACTACATGTAGATTACATCAGCTCACAAGATCACGAACATGTGGGGTAGTGAGCTAACAGAGCCTACATATTGCTGATCTTTGAAATTGTTTTTGTCTGATCTCGTATCCCTCCGGCTGGCATTGACAAATGGCCATCGATAAGTTATGCTGAAGGAGACATGTTCAGTGTGCTGCAGCTTCCAAAGGGGATGCTGCCGCCGGGGGTGGATCCTCCGAGCTCAAACTTTCACTGAAAAAAGTGGGGATGCTGCCAACAAGTAAACATGTGAGCTATACAAAAATGATAAAGTCATGATTTCTAAATAGTGAAAAATACATGCACTGTTCATCTTTTCAAAATCATGATTTTACCATTTTTGTGTAACTTACATGGTTTCTTATTTCATCATCAGAATTTGCACATGTGTAATATACATCCATATGAACATGTGGAAATGTTTTTGAAATATTCTGAAACTTTAAATTACCATTTTGATACTATTCAAAATATAGGGCTCCAATGCAACCCGTCCACCAAAATGACTTTTTGGGCGTCGGACGGCTACATGGAGACCGATTTTAAAACACGGTTTTTTTAATACTAATATATATAATATGTTGGGAAAAATCATAACAATATACTTTCATACATGTCCTGGACAAAAAGACAAATACGTTTATGGAAATGGGCCATTTCTTTTTGTTGAGCCTGGATTTTTTTTTGTGTAGCTTGCGAATCATAATATTTTGAACGGAAATTTACAGACCCATCAAGAATAAGTACAAGTTTTCACAGGATTTTTGTTAGAAAAACTTGAAAGTATCATGTTTGAATTTTTTGAAATAATGGGCTCCATGTAGCCCGTACTACACAAGTTCACACTCAACCATGCACTCCTTTCTTTCTATCATTTTCGCTCCTCGTCCATGAGGAGGGTGCTTGTTAAATGCTATTGGCCCCGTTAGTGGTTCGACATGCCCGGGCATGCCATGTTTCCTTAGATCCGTCGATGGACATCAAGGATGCTTGCTTCCCCTCGGCTTCGCCTCCCCATCAAAGCACGAGACCTCCATCACCTTGTTAACCCACGTCTTGTCTGCTTAATCTTTATGGGCCAAGCACTCCATGTGTGCTCCCTCGCTCGGTGTGCCGCGCCTGGTTGCAGATACGTCGTGTCACACACACCGACACGGCGACACATCGACAACCCAAACAAAAAGCAACTGACTGTTCATTAAACCCGGCTAAAAAAAAGACCGTTCATTAAACCTTTTGTTTTGTTTTCATTTTAGTAGAAGTCAAGGAACTATAGGGGGGTGTCTGGATGGTAGCCATTCCTATTCATTTTCTTGCTAATTTAATCCAACTCATGGTTAAGCTAACCGTTCGTTTTTTGTTCAGAGCTAACCAAAATTTGGCAAGCCGAATATCTGGCATTTTTTTTGAGAGAGAATCTGTTTTTGATGGCAAGCCGAATATCTGGCAAAAGTTTGGGCTAAAACAGCGTTCCGAGGCCCATGAGCTTAATGAAATAGCGCAAACGATCCTTCAGCCCAATCCCGGTCCGACTCTGACACGCTTCCACTCCATTAAAAAGCCCGCTGTTCCTAAACCCAATCCCGAATTCCCCAAAGTCCCCGAGACAAATCGCCCTCGCGTTAGGTTAGGCCGAGGCGAGTAGATTCGGTTTCTAGCTCAGCAACGCGGCGGCCATGGAGGACGAAGAGCACGAGGTGTACGGCCAGGAGATCCCCGTCGACGGCGAGGACGTCGACATGGGCGCCGGGGGCGACGACGCCGCCAAGGTTCGTGATGCGCCCGTCGCCGCCGCCGCGACTCGCTCGGCCCCTTTCTCCCTGACCCCAAACCCTAACGCCGGCACTGACCCTGTCCGTGTCCAGCTGCACGAGCTCGACGAGATGAAGCGCCGTCTCAAGGAGATGGAGGAGGAGGCCGCCGCCCTCCGCGAGATGCAGGCCAAGGTCGCCAAGGAGATGCAAGGTCAGTGCCGTGTCCGTGTACGGAACCTGTCGGTACCAACTTTAGGACCCGCATACGGTGGCAGGGTGGTTGGGGAATTTCAGATCCGGGACACTAGTGGAACGTTTAGGTCTGGAGCAAGCGCTGGCCTCGCCAATGGTTTGCCTCCTCGGCGAGTTCGCCTCGTTACCCAGCTTTTGGCCTGTTTCCGTTCACAAGGCTGGATCCTAACACGCCCTAGGATTGCCTGCTTTCTTGTTGCCCATTAGTATGGGTATGTTAACCAGCGTAGTAAGTTGTATGGTGTGGTTTAATTGCTTTTGGTTAGTCCCTTGATCGCTTCTTATATGCGATTTTGTTAGTATATATAATGTTGCTTCACGCATTCATAATCCTCTTAATTTCCTTTTAGAAAAAGAACCCTCTTAACCAGTTGGGGTTATGGTAGTTCTGCTGTGGTAAAGCATAGTATGGGAGTATTAGAGGCTCTGTTCCGCACCATTGTATTAAGCTTCTGCAGAATGATGTTTAGTAACCGCCTCTTTGCTTGCCGAAGAATACCGAAATGTAATAACATCATATTTCTCGGTTGGATCAATCTCGGAGAATATTCTTTTTGGCTCTGTTACACGCTTTATACTGTAATTTCTATGTTAATATTCTTTGGGGTAATGGTAGTTCTGCTGTGGTAAAGCATAATGTGGGAGTATTAGAGGCTCTGTATGCACCGTTCCACACCATTGTATTATGTAAGTTTCTACAAAATGATGTTTTACTGCCTCTTTGCTTGCCGAAGCATACTCAAATGTAATAACATCATATTTCTGTGTCGGATCACTCTCGGAGCATATTCTTTTAGGTTTGGTTACACGTTTTATACTGTAATTTCTGTATTAATATAATTTCCTTGCAAATATCTTAACACATTGAGTCTTTGTACCTTGTAGGCGGAGATCCTAATGCGACCACATCTGAAGCAAAAGAAGAGATGGATTCTCGTTCTGTTTTTGTTGGAAATGTAAGTTTTCATTCCGTTTGTCTAAATTTAGTTGGCACTCCTACATTTCATAGTAGATATGATATCGCCTAGGTATATGCGATAAAATTGATACATATGTTTCTTTTTACATGTGAGAATGTTTGTTATGCTTGTGAAATGGTTTATGGAAAAGCTGATGTTCAAGTTAACTACTTGATTTGCTTGACCAGCCCAAATTTTGTTTAAGGTGCTCTTAGATTAGGTATTGATGTTTCCACAGAACAGTCTATCTGTACTTTGATGATTTTTGTTTTGATTCTCAATAGATTGTGTCATAGTGCCAATCAGCAATGTGTCTTAGTCCCCTAAATAGTGCCATAACTTTGAACATGTATCATTGACAATTATATTTTATCAGTGACTTGAAATGCACTATGTATTTTCTATTTTTATCAATGTATTTTTTTTCTGGTGCATTGATTGAGAAATGACATTGGCCGCAGGGTAGTCTGCTATCATCAAGTCTTTGAAATCGAAATTTTGGCATCTGGCTGAGTCTCAGTG